GGCTTCGCCTGCCCATCCTACTAGCTCAAGCTGTCCATTTTTTAATCTCTCTGGTCCCTGCAACTTCTCTGTCCCACTTTCCGCCGAGCTCTGCAGACTCAGGTGAGCATCCTTCTTCACTCGTTTTGGATTTTTTAACCCCATTTATTCGTCATGTAGCCCATCACTTTCATTGCTTTGTTTATGGCTTTTCTTTGCCCCTAAAATTTACACTTTGTGGATTCACAGTGCAAGCTTTTGTCCTCTTTTGTTTGGCTAGTTGTTGTGTTCCTCTTTTATTTATTATGTTTGCTTATTCATGTAGGAAACATGAGAGATATGGAAAGTAAACTTATAGCAGCTGTAACAGCTTATGTTGCTTATCTTTTCATATTAGTTCGTATCTACAATCAGATTGAAAATGCGGCTAGTCAACCTGTTCGTAGTCATATAGAAAGGCCTATTAGAAATCGTGCTATAGTAAGGCGAGAACTTGCTCGAAATGAAATTATGTTGGAACTCATGAATGAAACACGATGTCGTAAAAATTTACGGATGGCACCTCATGCATTTCACAATCTTTGTGAGTTACTTCGAGGAACGGGGCTTATTAGGGACACCTGCTATAGTTGTGTTGAAGAGCAAGTTGCTAAATTTCTTCACGTCGTCTCACATGGTATTCGAAGTTCATTGGCCACACTTCTTTATCGTCGTTCAAGTGAAACAGTTAGCTGCTAATGCTTTGAAGGACACAAAGATGATAGAAATTTTTCTAAGGCAGCTTATCTTGCTGCTGCTAATGCTTTGAAGGAGAAATACAATGTGAAGTTATCAACGGACAAACTTCAGAATCGACTCAAGACTTTAAAAGTTCACTTGGGTTTGGCTTTGGACTTGCTTACTCAAAGTAGTGGGTTTTCTTGGAATGATGTCACGAAGAAAATTGAAGCAAGCAAAGAAGTTTGGGATGATAAGGCAAAGGTATATTTTGAACTTGAATTTATGTTTGTGCTTTTTCTGCAGAACCTCTTTTAGTCTAACCAATACAACTTGTTATGATCCAGAAGAAGAAGGCTTATAATCAAATTCGGGGCAAGCAACTTCACAATTTGGAACTTCTTCGAGAAATTTATGAAAAAGACAGAGCAATGGGTAACAGATCTGCAACGCCTGCTGAAAAATGTGAAGAATGGCAAAAGGAAGATAGAAGTTTCAGTCTCGATGATATTGATGAGCTTGAAGAACTCCAAGCTACAGCTTTTGAGAAGTCTCCCCAGGGTAATCATACTACTAATCCTTCTCCACAACCTCAAGGTAGTGAAGGGCCATCCCAAAGCGAAATGGCAAGGAAATTGTCTAAGGCGAAAAAAAGAAAGGCTGAGTTGTCTGATTTACTTGCTACTGAAATGAGAGATGTTAGAGTAGCATTACAGGATATTGCAGGCGCTATCAAGACCACTAATCGTCGAATCAGGTCTGAAGAAGAAATAGTTGAAGAACTTATCAGACTTGGATTTGGAGGAGATTATTTGATGGAAGGAACCGAGTTTTTGGTGGCTGATCCAATTCGAGCAAACACTTTTTTTGCTTTTCCCGAAGAAGTCCGTAGGGACTGGTTGCTTAGGAAGCTTGCTTGCTAAGTCTTCATGAGTTTGTGTGAGTTGACTGTGGGACTCTACTCATAATATTTTGTTTGAATTGGATCATTTTGATTCTATCTTGTGGACTACTAGTATGTTTCAAATACTTGTTATGTTTAGTTGAATTCTGGTTGTTACTTAATCCTCTCATCCTTTTATATTATGTTTTGATTTCTGTGAACAGAAATATATGCTTTCATTATTGTTTTGTTGCTCGGATGATTATCATATGGTTTCTTATTGTAGTATGCATTTATATCGATAAAAGGATATTATTGTAAAAACACTTGTAAGAATTCATTTCCATTATTCTCCAAACATAAAAGGAGGAAATCATTTTCCAAACTTTAGGATTTGTTCCAAACATTAATTCTGGAAATGAATCTCCATCGGAATTTAGATTCTCATAAGAAATGGAATTCATTTCCTAGCGGAATTATATCCAAACAGGCTGTAAGGGGGGCCCCGGCCCCCCGAGAATCTCGAACTTACCTGTAAACGGTTTAGGATAATACATATAAACAAGAAAGTATTGAATAAAACTAAAAAGCGTGCAAATCATAGCATAAAATTTGAATTGGCCTAGCGGAATTGGGAATGTAGAAGGACCCAATGCTTATGTGTTCGATTCTTGAGGTGAGCATATTTTTTTATTTTTTTGTCTTTTTGGTATTCTTTTTTGGAAGCTAGTTATTAGCTAATTTGACTATTGTCATTATATTTTTTATGATTTGTAGTGAACTTAATGTGAAAAAGTTTAATAATAATATGTTTTTTAAAATAATATTTATTATTAGTTTTTCCTCTCTTTTGCTGTAATGTATTAAGAAAATTCCGACCCTCGATGATTAAATCATGGCTCCACCCCTGGCCGATTTCATTGTTTGGAAGCTCAGATCCCCCAAATCCAAGCCCCGACCTGTAAAGGATGATTGTTGACAGAATCCAGGAGACCACGATTTCTAGTTTTTCCTACTTAATCATTTTCCTACTTTTTTCGGCTGAATCCTGGAAATTCAATTCCGTCAATTTATGTTTTGGGGATGAAGAAATTAAAAGTCGCCCAGAAGCTTTGTCGATGGTGGAGTTGGGTGGCAATTGTGGCGACGATGACCAATTTGGGCAATCGTCTTTGTGGTGGGGACTGGATCGCATTCTTCCCGGTAGTGGCATCTTGGCGGATGGATTAACGATAAAGCTGGATTGGATTAACGATTCACTTAACGAGGAAGAGATCTATATAGATGAACAATTATCATGGAGGAGGCTGGATTGGAAGTTGGGGCTTCAAAAATAGGAAATTGGTGGCTTCTCGGCTGCTGATACATCAGGGCATGGAGATGGAGTCTTAATATGGGAAAATGAAGGAGGAAGAGAGTAATCGCTCATCTGCTATCGGAGAAAATGGCTAAGTATCAATCGCCAAAATAGGGGATACAGTAAGGAGTAGGAAAGAGGGGAAGATAATAATTGAAAAGGAAATTAAAAATTATAATAGTAAATTTCAGTAATAAATGAATTAATTAGGCATATATGACAGGTGGAGAATTTATATTGGTCGGGAGTACCAAATCAGCTTGCTGAGGTGGTACTCCCGGAGTACCCAGTAGTTTGTGATTACCCACTCTTTTTCTCATTTAATTGCACAAGACACACACGAATTCTCCTTTCCCTAATTTTTATCACTGATCAACATGCCCTTCCTTCACTTCCCTTCATTATTTGTGGTAAACTAATTTAAGCTAAAAACTCATCAAACTAAATGTTTTTATTGGTGGGAGCTAGCGTTAGCATCATACTCACAAAAAAGTGTTAGCACACTAGTTCTATCATTCCACTTATTAGACTAGTATTATAAATCGATTTGATAAACTTATGGCTCGTTTGCTTAATGGATTTGAAAAATAAGGGTTTTGGTTAAAACTTCGGTTTTATAAAATCAAATATTTATGATGGAATTGGTCCATTATGGATTTGGACCAAACCCTTGTTTGCTTGTTGGATTTCATGATGGATTTTGCTGAAATATATTAGTGGGTATGAGATACCATTGACCTTGTTGCCCTTGTTTATAATTATTTGTATATTATTGTTTCCATATAAACACAGTCGTTTAGAGTTTCTTCGTACCTCTCCAAGATTTCAAGAGCTCAAAGCTATCATATATGCAAACAAACATGAAATCAATAGAAGATTTGAAATATTGAGCATAAACTAATCGTCAGTTTTAAACAAAGTGCTTCAATCATTGTTAGTTTGTTAACCAATACCCACTTACTCCAAATAGGCAAATACAACTTACCACACATCATTAAACTAGTTGATGTACTCTACAATTATAGAATTTTCGTCTTTCTTTTTCTCACAAATTGATGCTTGTTAAGTCCAAGCACATTCCACCATCTTCTTCATGTTTTTCCTTCACGTTTTTTCACTCCTTCCCGGGTCTCTCGTTATCTCTAGTCTAAAAGGTTAGCAAAAATAAAGAGGACAAATTTGTCATTAATAAAATGAGTGGGGATAAAAGAGTAAAGTCCCATCATGGACTTCTCAACGTCACCCAAATCTCACCCCTTGGGATGGAATTTGCAAGTCCATGAGACCACGGATTTGGACCATCAAAATTTGCGGCCCCACAAATTTATCTCCCCTCAAACCTTGAAGCAAACAATAAAGGATTAATACCTTAGGCCTTGTTCACTTTCATTTTCGTTTCCAGTTTTCTGTTTTCATGTGATAAATTTGGCAACCGAAATGAGAAAACTTGTTTACTTTTCATTCTGTTTTCTATTCGTTTCCAACTATGAAAACAGAAAGTGGCAACTTCCTGCTGTTTTCGGAAACGACAAAATGTTGTTTTCACCTGTTTTCAACATCTGTTTTCTCAAAAACAGGAAACAGAAATGAAAGTAAACAGGCCCTTAGTTTGGCCCGAAGTTTAGCGTAAGTGACGGTTTTGGCCTCATTTTTCAAATAAGACATTTATGGCCTACTTTTGAAACTATTGGACAAATTTGGCCCAAAATTTTCTTTGACCGTTAATATTGACGGTGAAAACTATTCCGTTAGTGACTAAGCAAAAAACACTTATGTGACATGCCATGTCATTAAATAGTATTATTTTAATTTTAAAGTTCAATGAAAATAAAAATTATAAAATTAAAAAAATCTCTTATTATCACAAAATTCCCAAATGGAGGCAGGCGCCTCAAAAAACTAAGCAAAGGAAAAAAATTCTGTAATTAATGTTTCAAAATAATCTCCATGATTCAGTCACCGACCGGACCAAATGTTTCAGTCTCGGCGTCGACCCAGTATAAATCGATTTCAATGTTTTAGAAATATATATACATACAGATAATTGCCGTCCATTTCACACCTTTCCTGATCCTGCCACGCAGTTGGACCTCGGTCATCAATTCCTCCTCGCCGACGAAGTCGTCACGATGAAAGACGGCGAATGACGGCTCATCCGTCTAGATCTCAAATCTGAGCTTCTCGCCATGCCAAACAAGCAAACCAGTGCCGGAAAACTCGACCTAGACCGAACACGCCGCCGCGATTGTTGCCTCTGCACCACCGTTGTCCATCCACGTTCGGCTGCCTCTCGACCCCCAAGAGATCAGTCGAGGCAAGCCTCCGTTGTTGTTGGTGTTGTTAAACCAGCCATCCATTTTTGGGTAGACCACGGGGAGATCCCTTTCTCCCCCCATGGCGCTAGTGAACCGCCCCACCGCGTCCCGGTCGCCTGGCAGCCTCCAGATCGTCAACCCGACCGCTTCCTCCTCGGCCTTCGCCGCGCCCTGCTCGCCGACGGATCGGTCTTCGTCCGCTGCGGGCAACTCGAATCCCCTGCAAATTGCAGAGTGGTGGTCATCGGAGAAAGAGGAGGCACTTCCCTCCCGTGGAAGATGATTTTGATTTAGTTTAGGGTTTGAATTTGGGGATTTTGTGATTTTGGGATAATAAGTGGAAATTTCATAATTTTTATTTTAATTGAATTATAAAATAAAAATAATATTATTTAATGAGGTGGCATGCCACATCAATGTTTTTTTGCTTAGTCACCAACAGAATAGGGTTTAACCGTCAATATTAACGGTCAAAGAAAATTTTGGGCCAAATTTGTTCAATAGTTTCAAAAGTAGACCATAAATGTCTTATTTGAAAAATGAGGCCAAAACTGTCACTTACGCTAAACTTCGGGCCAAACTAGGGTATTAACCCAACAATAAATTGGGTATTGTGCACCAAATCTACAATGAAAACTCTAAAGCAAACAAGACCTTAGGGCTCGTTTGGAAGTTGGGATTTCAGATGATGTATTTAGCCAATACATGCAATCAGAAGAATTCATCGTTTTTTTGGCTTAAAATGAAACATAATGCTTGTATTTGAACAACAGATGGGTCCACCAGAATCATTCATTATGAATGATTGTCAATCTCAACTTTTAGTAGAGATTGTGTTTGAGGGATTGTTGTCTTACTTTTTGTTCCTTATTCTTTGAGGGACCACCAAAATCATTCAATCTCCAAACAATGTATTTTTCAAATTCATACATTGAGACAATGCATCTAATTATAATACATGCATTGATTAAATACATCAATTTAGAGAATCCTTAGGTTCCAAACATGCCCTTAGTCTCCCCTAGCCGAGTTTTCATATTTTTTCTTTGTGAGGAAAAACAAAAGGAATAAAATGATGATGATAAGTTGATAACCGAAGAAGAAAACCGGAGGAAGTGAGAACGAACACGGTGGAACGTTGCCTTTGGATCTGAGATTCGTTCGCAACAATTTTCACCAAGCGGAATTACTACAGCTCGTACAGATCCATCCACAATTCAACTTTCTCTTTTACCGCTTCTCTCAACCATCTTTATCTCCACTCCGCCCTTTCTTCTGGAATTCATCCCCTCGGTTTATCCCTGACTTAATCATCTCTCTCCTCCAATAATTTCATCACCCCTCTCTCTCAATCTCTCACTTTTTTTTGCGTGATGCTGCTGCTGATATACTATCATCTCCTTTTTTGTTGGAAATATATTAGACTCACATCTCATTCTCTGCGCTTCCCTTTTTGGTTTTGGTGGGTGGGTCAGTCTGTTTTTCCCTCTGTTCCTTGTATTTTTTTTTTTTTTAGAATTGGGTTTGATTTCGGTTGTGACGAGCGATGTACTTGGTGGTATTTTTGCTTTGTTTACACGGATTTTGATTCGTTCTGGGTTTTGAATGACTGTCTCTCGCCTTTTATATTTGAACAGAATTCGTGGTTATCCTTTCCTCTTTGCTTCTTAATACTTTGTCAGTTTGTCTTCCTCAATCTCTGAATTTCTTCTTTTGAATTGAAGTTCAAGGCCACCTGTGGATGTAAAGCTTTAGTTGCTTGTGTTCAGATGCTCTATCTCTTCATTGATCGAGTTCTGTCAGTTTGTGTGATAACAAACAACCCATGTGTCTGGAGTTAGGTTGATTAGCATAATGGTCAACGTTTAGAAAATTATGGGTTTTGTTTCTTGGATTTATTGTTGTTGCCTTTTGTGTTTCTTTACCGCCACGGAATTCAACTGTTCTCTCTTCATATGTCATTCGTTGTTCCGGTGGTTTTATGGAATTGTGTTGAATTGCAGTAGATGAAGAATCAGATCGAAGGGAAGAAATATGGCAGCAGCTGAAGCAAGAGCTGCCTGGCAGAGAGCAGCAAATCGTTGTTTTGTTCAGGAGGATGCCAAAAGAGCTCCCAAGTTAGCTTGTTGCCACTCATCATCATCCAAATTAAGTGAAGGAGAGGGACCAACTGGTGCATCAGAAGCGCCTGATAGTCCTGCTGCCGGCTTCATGCCGTTCAACTGTAATCCTTCTTACTCCAGTCTTCCCCCTGATACGAGATGGTGGCTTCAGTTGCAGCCCTGCTATGGTTACCAAAAGGGTTTAACTTTTGACCAGCTGAATGCTTTAGAGGCAGAGGTGGAGAGTTTGAGATCTGGAGTTGGAACCACAACAGACTCCATAATGGCCCAGGAGGTTGTTAGTTCCCTTGATCATAACTCGGATAGTACTTGGATAGATGTCAAAAAGAGTTGCGAGTCTTCGCTTGATGCTGCATATAGCAAGATTTCTGCAGACTGTTTCGTCTATGTTTTCGAAGGTGAAGATCAAGTAAACGGTCTTAATGCTAGTAAAGAGAGAAGTAGTCAATCTGTGGAGGCTGATCCTCTTGTTGCTTTCCATGAGATAGCAAAGAGCAATGTGAATAGCTTTGACCCGGAATCTCCTTGGAGTACTGTTAGTGCAAAGAGTGTGCCATGGTGGCGAACTGCAGATAAAGATAACTTGGCCTCGTTAGTTGCACAGAAGTCATTGGACTATATGGAGAACTGCGATCTCCCTCCTCCTAGAAAGTTTCAGATTGACGGATTCCCTTGTGCTGATCCTAGATCTTCAAATCATGACGGTTCAGCGTCACATTTGTTGGATTGGAGAAAACCTAGCAGATGTGTCTCCGACCCAATTGTTCATATAGCAAGACCTACTGAAATTGCAGTGGGAGGAGGGCAACTGGCTTCGACTGGAGAACATTCACAAACTGGCTACGACAATACATTCAGGTAACTCTCCTTGATTACATGTAGCAGTATGATCCAACCACTGCAGTCAAAATTCCAACTCAATTCTTAAAAGCTTAAGTTATTAGAGTTCAGTGAACCAATATAGTCTGATTCTATACATGTCATAGAATTTTATGACCAAATATGCTTCACCTTTTGCTTTGGTGATTGGATATTTCAACCAGGCTTTCCTAATAGATATTGTATATTTATAATGTTCTGATCTTGTTGTTAAAAATGTTATTTTTGAAGGTTTATATGGCATCACTGTTATTCGGTAATTATAACCCTTTTTATGTCAGTCGTAAAACCTTAATTATATAGTTTGACTACCTCGTGTGTGAATTAGTGAGTGCTTACTGTTAACATATTACAAGGTGTTGAATGTTTTAAAGATATTAGACTGAGGAATTCTCTTGTTTAGTAGATTAACGTGATGCATCAATCTCAGCAACTTAGAGAAGAGGGATATGGAGAAAATAGTTCAATTGTTGAAGATTATATATTTGTTGCTCTGCGACACATTGATTTTAATCTGTACAAAAATAAACAAGTTGGAAGCTTATCGTGATCCATAAACTCCTACAGACTCAACTGAAACCAGCACTAGTTGTTGGCATGAGTGTTGATGTATTTCTTTAATAGCTGAAGGATGACCATGTGGTTCACATAATCACATTACATATTTATTCCCGTGGGGCGCTTGCTATTTTCACATGCAAGTTCCTATCTGTTATGTGGTCTTATACTTCTCTTTCTATGTATGTGAACCTTGTCTACAGTCCTACGACAACACTTAAGGATGTAAGCCAGGATCCCAAGAGCGACCCTTGCAAGGCTCGGCTGCTGGAAGCGCTTCGGCATTCTCAAACACGTGCAAGGGAAGCGGAGAAGGCTGCAAAGCAAGCCTGTGCAGACAAGGAGCATGTCATTATGCTCTTCTTAAAACAAGCGTCCCAACTGTTATCCTACAAACAATGGTTTCAGCTCTTGCAGCTTGAAACTCTTTACCATCAACTGAAGAACAGTGAGGATCCAATGGCCACTCTATTATTCCCTGTAGCCCTTCCATGGATGCCTCCAATGGGTAAAAAACTGGGCAAGAACCGGTCTAAGACCACAAAAGGTAGCTATAAGCGAGGGAAGAGGAACCGGGCAAGGCAGGACATGAAGCGGTATGCAGTCGCATTTGCATTGGGGTTGAGTCTTGTTGGTACAGGGTTGCTCCTTGGTTGGACTGTAGGGTGGATGCTGCCTTTCTAGAAGGAACGAGGTGATGTGATGTATTGTCTAAGTAAATTTCTTTTAGTTGGTTGTTTAGATGTTTGATGCAAGCTTAATTTGCAGTGCTGTAGAGAGCAGAGGTCGTAATGTGTAGGGGTTGTGTGGACTGTGGAGGGATGGCGTTATGGAACTATATGTTTCGTTTTCTTGCTGATTGACTGTATATACTCTGTATACAATTTTGATTCTAGGTTCGGTGTGTAGCTAATGGTAAGCTGGTGATAGAAACCAACTGTTTCTATTATAATTACTAGGATTAGTATTATTAGGGTTATAAGTCTTTCGTATTGGGTTTATTATCAGGGGTTTTCAGTCTTTCGTTATAAATATGTACTCTGCGTTTTGTTTCAGAATTAAGCAAGCACAATTATTTAGAAAAGTATCTCGGACCCTAATATCTCCAATCTCTCTTAAATTCGCCGCCTATCCCTATACCGTCGGCCATTCTTCTCCTCAATCTCCCAATTTCCTCTTCTAAATCCCTAATCTCGAATTCTGTTTTTTTCCAATTCTATCTAAATCTCTAAATTTTAATCAATTTTCAATCTCACCAACCCAATCGATAGAACCCTAGAATTATGTTTTAACATTTGGTATCAGAGGCCGGTTAGCTAACACATCCTCCGCTGCGTTCTCGTCGACTCCAGAACCGCCATCCAAACGAGTGTCCTCTCCCGGTGTTGGAGATATGTTTGGAAAGGCGTCCCCACCTCAATTTGACTCAAAATCCTTCGACACCAGCTTTATCTCCCATCGATTCATCCCCAAAATCCTCTCCCGCTGTTACACCGCCGCAATCGAACAAATCAGTTTGGAAATCGAGAAGCATCGGCGCGCGGAGGATGGCGAAGCGTGGCGAAGAAGAAGCGTCACCACGCCTAAACTATTGCGAGTCGGCTAATATCCGCTCCATCACAAATCGGTTCCGATAATAATAGTCCGGTGCAAATTACCATCCTAGACTCCTAGTTGCGATTCTCGCCGTATCTCATCCGAGTCGGATTTTCCCGGCTCATTCGCAGGTTGTCTTGTGACTCTTGTCCCAAAATCTTCACTTCGCAGTTCGCATTCTGCCTTTAGTGCGACTTCCAAAAATTTCGCGCCTCTGAAATTTCTACTTTTCTTCCGCATCCTAGCTCAATTGCTTTCACGATTTCAAGCTCCCTTTCTGTAGCGTTTCTTACTCGATTTTGCTAGTTCTCTCAGGAGTAAAATTCCTTTCCGACAAAGGACGTTTGAATTCATCCATTCTATCACCACTGCTCCTCCCAGCTCGGTTTTCGTTGGCGGATTTCCCCCCTAGGGTTTGGAACTCGGCTTTGAATTCCCTAGGTTCTCGCGATCATTTTAAGGGTTTCTAAGTTTCCTGGGTTCGGAATTTGCATTCTACGTGATTTAAGTGTCGCCAGTTTTTGTGTCCACGAATCTTGGTGCTCTCATGCGAAATTAGGGATTCGTTTTCCTTGGAATGATAATAAAAAAGACGATGAAAGTTGAGGTGCCAAGTCTCAGGCGGTGTAAGTTGGAAGAAGGTTTCAGCGATCATGACGATGGCAACGAAGAAGAGGATGAATACGCATATTCCTTCATCCCCAAGATGCGGAAGATCGACGGGTACGGTTCCAACGGGAGGATGAGCGTCTACGGTGATGTTGATGACTTCGGCAGTTGTGCTGCAGGCTCCGGGTCGCATGTAGCTACTGAAATATTCTCCAATTTGAGGTCATTGAAGAATCAGAAGCTCAAAAGGTCTCGGTCTCGGTCTCCGCCATTCACATCCTCCCGAGGAAGAATCCACACGCTTCCTTCGAGGTTCAATGACTCCGTCGTTGATTTGTTGAAGAGTCGGGGCTCTAGATTCTACGACTCTGATTCCAGCTTTGAGAATGATGTTTCCGTTGACGTGGCTACGCATAGCTTTCTTGGGGATAGATGTAGGATGAGATATGTAAAATTTGAGAACGATCATTCTTCCGGATTCACGGAACGGAATAGTGGAATTAGTGCTGTACGGTTTAGCAATCGCAAGTTTTCCAAGTATGAGCGGCAACATTTGAGTTTAAATCGTTCCACGCTGGAGACTGTGGACTCTGATCCGAGTTTGGAACGCAAGGGTTCCCTGGAGTTGACGAAAGGAACATCTAATCTTAGGAAGGACGTTTACAGGCCAGAGGACTTCGCTCTTGGAGATATAGTTTGGGCCAGGTGCGGGAAGAGATACCCTTGGTGGCCAGCTGTGGTAATCGATCCTATATTGCTAGCTCCTAAAGCTGTTCTTAGCTGTTACGTCCCTGGCGCTTTATGTGTTATGTTTTATGGGTACTCCAAAAATGGAACGCAAAGGGTATTTTCCGTTGTCTTTACTCTTTGACCACGTCTCCAGTTACTGGGGTTTCTTGCTTTGTTCTTGAATTTGATTTGTCAATGGTAATGTGCAGGATTATGCATGGCTTAAACAAGGGATGATCTTCCCCTTTGCAGAATTTACCCACAGGTAACTTAAGTTTCAAAACTCGCATTCTGTTCATGGAAGGAGGATGCAATTCCTGATTTCCTGTTTCATCAGATTTCAGGGGCAGACTCAAATGTTCAAGTGCAAGATGAGTGACTTTCAGATGGCATTAGAGGAGGCGATCTTAGCTGAAACTGGTTTCCTGGATGCAGACAGTACATCAAAAGCACCTTTCACAGAAGCTCACCTGATAGAATTCCAGCATGCCAGTACTTTCAGTCGAGATCAATATCGTTCCTACCAGGTGAGTTCCTGGGACCCCATTTCTCTGTCATTTTTCTGAACTATGATTAATCCTTGCATTAAGCATTATGAAATAGTTAGGTTGACCATATCGAATTACTTAATCACAATGACATTGTAAGTTGATGTTTTTGGTATGGTTCAAAAGCGTCTGTCTATTCTAGATGGATCGACGATGAGAATTAGTACATCCTTACTTTTTGTTATCATCTTAGTTGACAGCTGCTGAATAACAGAGACTCACTCACAATCGTAGGCTAGAAAGTGCTTTGTGGGGATATTAGGTGCTTCTGTGTTGAAGAACCATTCTTGTGGACTTGAAGGTAGATATCGAGCAACTGGAAGCAGATGGGATAAAAACATACTTAATTTACATGGTGGTTATGTAAGATAAGCAATGCCGATAAACACACACATTATCTCGAGTCCGGATAGCTTGAAAACTGATATTTGAATTGGATTACTACTATGAAAACATAGATTAGTTTGTGATTATATAATTGTAGAAAAATATTCATTTCCGTACTTGTTGTTCAGCAAGTTCCTTGATCCTGTATCTGTTGGGGAGGTAGGAGTGTAGCGATGACATATTCTCAAGTTTATAATGCTCTTTAATGTTCCAAATTCAGGAAAGTGAATGTGCAAGACCTCATTTCATGGTCTTACCTGTCATAAACTTGTTTGACGTAGGCTGTTTGCCTTATTGATCAGCTTATGTTGATTTATCTTTTTTGAATCCATTTACACCAATAGACACTAGTTATTCTGCCTAGTGTCAGATTCCTGGTTTCCTGAAATACTTGTTTGACTCCCCATTTTAATATGTTTATGGTGTTTTTATGGCCAGTACTTATGTATTATTCCCCTTCCAGGGTGCGTGTTACAAGGAGATGAAATGCTGTGGTGGCTGCAGTCTGATGCTGCCCTGCAAAGTTGTGAAGAGCCGGAAGGACTCAGTGTATATGACCGAGCTACTGTGTAAACATTGTGCCAAGGTTCCTGGTCAAACTTTATGCAGCTAGATTATCAGACATTTTCTGTTCCCGGTGTTCGTTATTATCTTTGGAACTATCTTACTCTCTTGCAGTTAAGGAAGTCCAACCAGTATTGTGGGATATGCAAGAAGATCTGGCACCATTTAGATGGCGGAAACTGGGTGAGGCCTAGTTATTGAGCTTGGTTATTTATTTGCTTTATTTCAAAAAAGGTAATAGTTGTTCTAATGGATTATTGACTTTTTGAATTAGGTCTGTTGTGATGGCTGTAATGTTTGGATCCATGCCGAGTGCGATAACATTTCGAAAAAGCTTTTCAAGGTTTACCTCACATAATACGACTTGTTCCTTTTCTCATATTCTCTGATGCATAGAATTGGTTTGAACTCACTTGTTATGGTCTGTAGGACCTGGAAAACAATCAATATTATTGCCCTGATTGCAAAGTGAAGTTCAAAGTTCCGCCACTGGATTCCAATAGGAGGATGCTTCCTGTCAAGTTTGTTAGCCTTTTTCTTTGTTGTTTGTACATTTCAGTTTGCATATGCTTATAATAGTTGTAGATACTAATGGTTGAAGTTTTTTATTTGAATTAGGTCTATTCTAAGCACTGAAGAAGCAATGACACCTGAGAAAGTGATTGTTGTGTGCAACGGGATGGAGGGTACATATCTCCGGAAACTTCATTCGTAAGGCCTAACCACTTTGCAATTTCTAATAGTCTTCCCTTTTCTTTGTTATGATACTGAAAGCTCGTTAAGAAACTTACCAGCAAACTTCTCTCTCCTGTTTGCCTCTGTTTCTCCTTGATCTACGTTCTTTGATTTCTTCTAATTTCTCTCACGTTAATGCCAGCTTGATCGTGGATGATCAATTCTATGCAGTGAATGCAGTTGTTAAAACCACTAAAATATATCACTCGTATCTCTGGTTTGGTTGTTTTTTTGGCTCTGTACAAATTTGAGAACCTTTTCTTGTCTGCTCCTTTTTTCCTAAGTAATAAACTTTGTCACCATTATAAGAAAAAGAGAATGGACGTTTGACATGCCCTATAATTTTGTGCTTTTGTTTCTGTTCAGAATTCTTTGCAGCTGCGGGTCTTGTGGATCTCGGAAGCAAACTCCCAGTGAATGGGAAAAGCACACGGGATGCAGAGCTAAGAAATGGAAGTGTAGTGTCAAAGTGAAGGATACAATGTTGCCACTGGAAAAATGGGTTGGTGCTGCTTGTTTCTCCGAAAGCAAGATTCTTATGTTTTGGCTTGATTAGTGATGCCACTAGCTGTTTTTTCTAGAATGCACAAATTATATTCTAACATAGTGAACTGATTTATTTGCATATTTTATGTAAATCTTTGTCTTGGTTTAGTCCGATGGTTTTCACCTTCTTAGTGGGTGCTGAGAACAGTGGTTATGGATGACAGTTGTTTTAAGTGTAGTTGCATATTCTCCGACAAGTGGTGATGGGTATGTTGCATCTCATATGTGAAAATTGATTGCATTTGAGGTGGTGTAATTACAGCTGTTAAATGAGTCCCCAGTTTAGTTACATATTAAAAAAGTTAGCTTTTCTGATGGGTTTGTGAGCTTTAGATAGCTCATTGTTTTTAACTATCATATATCATCTTGCGAAAGCTTTATTGCTATGATCTGTGAGCTAACTTAAAACTAATGCAAGTTCTATAGTGTGATAACTTGCATGAGGTCATTTTGTATTAAGTAAGATTAATATCCGCACCAGTTTTCTGACTCTACTACAATCTGGATAAGATTTAGTATGAAGTTATTAATCGCCACAGTTCTTTTCCCTCCTGTTTAATTTACTGCTTGCTAATGAATTTGCTGCAGATTGATGAGTATAGTGCACATGACTCGGATCCTCTGGAATTAGATAAACAGAAGCTATTAACTCTTTTGCAAGGTACTTCTGTGTTCAGTTTAATGGACTTATTGCATCTGATGCTGTGTGGTCACTTAGCCATGCTGAATTTGTTAATCGAACAGAAAAATACGTGCCTGTTTATGCAAAGTGGACATCAGAAAGATGTGCTGTTTGTAGATGGGTTGAAGATTGGGAAGATAACAAGATAATAATATGCAACAGGTCAGTATGAATTGGTTGGTTCTACTGTAAGTTGTCATGGTTCAAAGTTTTGGGATCCATCTCCAACTAGTTTGGGCCTAAATAATCTTGTTTGTTGCCTGGAAAGTTCTTTTGGGTTGTTTAATCAATGCATCCAGTTGATGATGATTAAGCAGGTCTTGGATATTCTTATTGTACACTCGATTTGCTATGATATTTTTGTCCAGATGTCAAATTGCTGTCCACCAAGAGTGCTATGGAGCAAGGAATATTCAGGATTTCACAACTTGGGTGTGTAGAGCATGTGAAACGCCCGATGTGGAAAGGCAATGTTGTCTCTGTCCAGTAAAAGGCAAGTCATTTGTGCTCATTGCACTGTGTCCGTTTTGATTCTTTTTGTCCTTGGACTATTTTTGGCTGTTGAATGCGATAGGTTATAAAAAAAACGGGACAAAGAACAACAAAAATGAAAGAGCTTTTCTTGATTAAAAAAAAGTGAAACAAAAGACAGCAAAAATGAAAGAGCTTTTATTTTCTGACCCCTCTTATGTTTTCTAGTTCGCATTGGATCAGAAGTTTTCTTTTAGTTCCCGAATTAAGAAGTTGTTTTATTTCTCTTTTAATGCTACCCATTTCCCCATATGCTATGCTATTGTTCTGATATGCATTAGCTGTTCTTCAGGGGGTGCTTTAAAGCCAACTGATGTTAATAATCTCTGGGTGCATATCACATGTGCTTGGTTTCGACCTCAAGTTGGTTTCTTGAATCACGAGAATATGGAACCGGCCACTGGACTTTTCAGGATCCCTTCAGCTACCTTTCTGAAAGTAAGTCAAATCAATGGCCTAGTCTTCAGTAGAAATCTTTGCCGCCTCGTCTGAGAACTAGAATTGCATTCCCTGTCATTGAGACTGGAGCACTGCTAGCAATGAGTCTTAGGATCTGGTTCTGAAAAAAATAATACGCATCTTAATGGTTGGAAAAGCATTAGTATCTCATCATATGTGGTCTTTAGCTTAATAACACTGAATTGATTTAACCCTTTTGGAGCAGAGCTGTGTTATCTGCAATCAGACTCATGGTTCCTGTACCCAGTGTTGCAAGTGTTCCACCCACTTCCACGCGATGTGTGCGTACAGAGCAGGATATATTATGGAGGCAAGCCTTTTGCTTTTGTTTCTTAACAGTTATTTGATCCTGATTTGTTGTATTGAAAATACTTGATTATGATATAAGCACTGTTTTCCCTGTATGTTAGATCTGATGATAAGCTTTCATTTGAAATAGTTTTTCTTCATATTTACCGGGTAGATCTGATTAGTCTTCATTTTTTAGACGCTAGGGAAAAAGAATTGAACTGAAAATAAAGGACTATGAGACAACTTTTTGCGCTTTCACTTAGCTAGGATTCACTTGTTGTACATATGAAATATGAGCAGGACCAGATGTTTTATATTATTTACTTCAGGTTCATGGACTTACATGTTCAAATTTTTAGGTGCACTGTCTGGTGAAGAATGGGAAAGAAGAAACCAAGAAGTTAATATACTGTGCTGTTCACAGGTGAACAAACACACTTCTTCCCCTGCAAATTTTTGTATATTTTTTCTTTGTTCCTTCATCAATGGACTTCCGGAAGATGCGTTTTGTTTCTTTGTATTTCCACCAATTTATTTGGATGATTAGTGTTCTCTTTCTGTGTGTTTCTTTTTTCGTCTGCATAGGACCCCAAACCCCGATTCTGTTGTAGCTGTTCGTACTCCTGCAGGGATTTTTGCTGCCAAAAGCTTGCTTCAACAAAATCAGAACGAGTTCTTCCAGGGCTCAAGACTCGTGTCACCTAGGAGAACTGACGTTGCAACCTTCAGGACTGATGAATTTGAGCCTCTTTCCTCTGCGAAGTGTCGTGTTTTAAAAAAATCAAATGATAAGGTGTTTTTTCTCTACTCTTTTGTCTCTCGAGTTCCTTTACCCTGCCACTTGGAAAATGGTCATGCAGACCAACCTTTTCAGTTGCTTTCTGCATGAGATTATCAACGTCATTCCTGTAGTCTCATAGTATTTTCAATATGATAGAGGTCTGCAGCAGCGCCAATGTTCCAACGTCCAATGGGGCCACGACATCATTCTTTAGATGCAATAAGCAGCTTCAGGACCCCTATGGTAATAGTCCTTTGGTTACCTTTGGAGATTACCTTTTCATGAAAATTTACCTTTTGACTGAGAGACTGAATTAGACAACAATTTTTTATGTTTGAATTCCTGATGATCCTGATTCCATGCTGTTGGTTATAAATTATAAGAGATGTCTGCATTGGTCTTCTTGCAGGACAAGGATAATTCTAGGATATTTGAGTCATTTAAAGAAAGACTTTGTCATTTACAGGTATTTCCACCTATGATAATATATCATCCATGTCAAAGAATCTTTAATCTGTAAGTTAACATGAATTTTTCCTGCAGAAAACTGAAAAGTATCGGATTTGTTTCGGCAAATCTGGCATACATGGCTGGGGCCTCTTTGCTCGGATAAATATTCGTGAGGGTGAAATGGTATACAATTTCAAAGCTTGAATTTTTGGTCTGTCACCATACAATGCGTCTTCATAGCCTTTTTGCTCCATGATATGTGGTTATACTATATCTGAGGAGCTCCGGCTTATGTATATGCTGTGTGCATGAACCGATGAAATTTATTGTTCTATGGTGTTAAAACCTAAAGGGCCCTTTCTTTCTTTCTTTCTTTCTTCAGGTTGTTGAATATCGGGGTGAGCTGGTTAGGCAGATTGTTGCTGACCTCCGAGAGGCTAGGTACCAGTCACAAGGAAAAGATTGCTATGTGAGTTTCGCGGCACTGTTCCGTCTATATGCACTTTCTGCAATGCTTTCGTTGCAGTTAATTCTCCTTGGCTGGTTGGTATAGTTGGAGCTTGTTCATAGACTAATAAGTAATAACTACGCATTTACTGAGCTCAAATTTGTTCCAACTTTTCTTTTTAAATAGAAGAGCATAAGTATCGGCCAACGGTCATTTGGCAAGTAGATCAACGCACTTAAATCAGTCTGTGAGTGTGTTGAACAAACGAGTTTAGGGGCTTCCTGTTATGTCCTATCCTTTAAATTTTCTGTTATTTTTTAATATGTTTTGATTCTCCCATCTGTTGTGCTTATGAACTTTCGACTATGTTTTGTTTACTGTTTTTTCTTTGCTTTATTTCCACAAGTGTCCCGAAACTCTATTTTGGTCGCTGATAGCCGATGAACTCTAATGCAGCTGTTCAAGATCAGCGAGGACATGGTGATCGATGCCACAAATAAAGGAAACATAGCACGCCTAATCAACCATTCGGTAAGTTTAATTTTTTTTCTTTTTTCCCTTAAAGTGAAATATATAGCTACTCTATTCGAGAGAACAGACGTCAACTGATCCTTAAGCAGAGACATGAAATCTTTTTGTTGAGGGCTGATTTAGCGTGTTGTAGGTTGCACAAGTTTTTTTCGTTCTTTTCCCCTTTTTGGTCTGTTGAAGAGAGAATTTTGAGCTCGTGCATACTAATAATATTTATTAATGAAACAACCTTGTGGGTTGGCTGGCTATTTACTGCAGTGTATGCCGAACTGCTTCGCAAGGATAATGACAGTTGGTGCTGCAGACAACCGTGTAGTGCTTATTGCCAAAAGAGACGTTCCGGCTGGGGAAGAGCTAACGTACGTATGTCCATAGTTTAATAATAGTTAATAATGATGATGTTCTGCTGATCATTTCTTTTTACTTTCCCGTCCGTTTTATCTGCTCTGCTAAAATGGGGTTTGCTTCGAGGAACGAATGACCGCAATTTTGTTGCTCGTCTTTGTGGTGACTTGTCTGACAGGTACGACTACTTGTTTGAAACTGATGAGTCGGAAGAGCAGAGAGTCCCTTGCCTGTGTGGAACTCCAGAATGCAAGAAGTTTATGAACTGACTACTAGAGACTTGCATACGTAAATACAGTGTCGTTGGATGGTCGTTCTTTTCCTTACGCTCTCTTTGGCTTCGTCTGGAAGAACTGGGAAAGGCCAACTATTCATTTTGAGTATAATTCTTTCATTGGTTAACTCTCTGCTATTCTCCTACATTGAGCTGCAATGCAATAAAAAAAAGGCGGAGTTCGCATATTGTTAAAAAAATATGTTGGCATAAGGATAAGGGGATAACAGTAGCAAAGTAGAGAGAAGAACAAGAGAAAATGAGGAGTTTTTATTCCTGTTCCTCGACATTTTGGTAGTCTATTTATGAGTATTTTTGGTGAAAATTATACGCTCCAACCCTAAATTAATGAGAAGTCGATAGGAATCGGTTAGACGTTTAGTTTTGTTGATGTTGGGTCATGGGTGGAGGTGGAAGACTCGGCAATTTCCTGTAATCTAATTGGTTGGTTCGAGCATGACTCCACGTTAGGCCAAAATACAAGTATTGGTTGGTTTGGCTGGAATTTAGCACCTCTACACATAGATCCAATACTCAACCGTTTCTAGAAAGGATTTAACTTCGTCATTAATCATCAAGTGGGTGATAGAATAATCTTCGATTAATTAGCTTGATTTTTTCTCTCATTAGATCATTCGAAAAGATGATACAAATCGTTCGATATAAAGACGACTGTCAAGAACCAATTGATCACAATAACTCAAATTGTTGGGAGAAGGTTATGCTGGATCTTATACCACTCTCTAACACGCCCCCTCAAACGAAAGTCAACCCATGGGCTTGAAGTTTGCACAGGTCCACCATACCTTGTGCTTTTTTTTAATTAACTGTTAATATTGGGGGTTGTGAAGATTCGAAAACATGACCTTTCGGTTCTAGACTCTGATACCATGTCAAGAACTTCACAATCAATTAACAAAATCGAATCCCGACAGCAATCGGAACGACAGAAACATGGTCCGAAGAGCCACCAAACCAAATGCACCACCTATTACAATCATGGTAAAGGAAACCGGATCGTACCGGCCGGTTCAACCGGTAAAACCGGGAATCCGACCAGCAGCGAAACGATACCCTACCAGCCTCCTTTCTATCGCGCCGGCCGGTTTAATCGGCTTAACCGGCATGAACCGGTATACCGTCCGGTTTAAATCAGACCGGCGGTAATAATAAATGTGGTAAACGTCGCCGTTTCAGGACACAAAATTGAAAAAAAAAATTAATCGACGAAATGACTGTACTAACTGCTAACCCTAATGGATTCTTTCTCTTCGGCCTTCGACCTCCAAGCTCCAAGCCTCTCTGCCGCCTCCTTTCTCCAGACCAGAATCAGATCGCCGCTGCCTGGCGCCTGTCCTGCCAGTCTGCCTGCTCGTGACGGAGAGGCCCGCCGCCGATCGATCTCCAATCTCCAACGCAGTCCAGCGGGCAGCGAGTCGGCGTCTCGGCGACCGCCTACTCGTGGTCGACAGCTCCGTGAATATTAGCAGAGAAATCGTTGTGTCAGGATGATGATCGCCTGCTGAGATGGAGCTATTTCTTCAGGGTGGTCTGAGTTGAAACTGAGAAACATTGATTTCCTAAGAAGATAGAGAGAAAGAAGAAGGTGAAGGGGGATTCATGTGTGTTTGGTTCTGATTGGAAGTGTTGGGAATTCACAGTTGTAAACGAAAAGTTCGGTATAAATTGAAATATTTAATTGCACCGATGGTCAATGAGGGGAAGGGAGGTTGCGTTGGAATCGTGTGACCGAGAGGAACGCCATAGAGTTGGAATTTGCAAGAAAAAAGGTCTCTAAAGAAATTTCATTTTTTCACAAAATAGGCTTGTGGGCTCACGAAAAGTTTGGTTTAAAGTGCAATTTCTCATTGCACCGATGGCCAATGAGGGGAAGGGAGGTTGCGTTGGAATCGTGTGACCGAGAGGAATGCCATAGAGTTGGAATTTGCAAGAAAAAAGGTCTCTAAAGAAATTTCATTTTTTCACCAAATAGGCTTGTGGGCTCACGAAAAGTTCTGTTTAAAGTGCAATTTCTCATTGCACCGATGGCCAATGAGGGGAAGGGAGGTTGCGTAGGAATCGTGTGACCTTGAAGAACGCCATTGAGTAGGAATTTGCAAGAAAAATAGTCTCTAACGAAAATTTATTTTTTCACCAAATAGGCTTGTGGGCTCACGAAAAGTTCGGTTTAAAGTAAAATATCTCATTGTACCGATGGTCAATGAGTGAAAGGGAGGTTGCGTTGGAATCATATGACCGAGAGGAACGCCATAGAATTGAAATTTGCATGAAAAAGGTCTCTAAAGAAATTTCATTTTTTCACCAAATAGGCTTGTGGGCTCACGAAAAGTTCGGTTTAAAGTGAAATATCTCATTGCACCGATGGTCAATGAGTGGAAGGGAGGTTGCGTTGGAATCATATGACCGAGAAGAACGCCATAGAGTTGGAATTTGCAAGAAAAAAGGTCTCTAAAGAAATTTCATTTTTTCACCAAATAGGCTTGTGGGCTCACGAAAAGTTCGGTTTAAAGTGCAATTTCTCATTGCACCGATGGCCAATGAGGGGAAGGGAGGTTGCGTTGGAATCGTGTGACCAAGAAGAACGCCATAGAGTAGGAATTTGCAAGAAAAAAGGTCTCTAAAAAAATTTCATTTTTTCACCAAATAGGCTTGTGGCTCACGAAAAGTTCGGTTGATAGTGCAATTTCTCATTGCATAGATGGCCAATGAGTGGAAGGGAGATTGTGTTGGAATCGTGTTACCGAGAGGAACGCCATAGAGTTGAAATTTTAAAGAAAAAAGGTCTCTAAAGAAATTTCATTTTTTCACCAAATAAGCTTGTGGGCTCACGAAAAGTTCGTTTAAAAGTGAAATATCTCATTGCATAGATGGCCAATGAGGGGAAGGGAGGTTGCGTTGGAATCGTGTGACCGTGAGGAACGCCATAGAGTTGAAATTTTCAAGAAAAAATGTCTCTAAAGAAATTTCATTTTTTCACCAAATAGGCTTGTGGGCTCACGAAAAGTTCGATTAAAAGTGAAATATCTCATTGCACCGATGGCCAATGAGGGGAAGGGAGGTTGCGTTGGAATCGTGTGACCGAGAGGAACGCCATAGAGTTGGAATTTGCAAGAAAAAAGGTCTCTAAAGAAATTTCATTTTTTCACCAAATAGGCTTGTGAGCTCACGAAAAGTTTGGTTAAAAGTGAAATATCTCATTGCACCGATGGCCAATGAGGGGAAGGGAGGTTGCGTTGGAATCGTGTGACCGAGAGGAACGCCATAGAGTTGGAATTTGCAAGAAAAAAGGTCTCTAAAGAAATTTCATTTTTTCACCAAATAGACTTGTGGGCTCACGAAAAGTTCGGTTTAAAGTGCAATTTCTCATTGCACCGATGACCAATGAGGGGAAGGGAGGTTGCGTTGGAATTGTGTGACCGAGAGGAACGCCATAGAGTTGGAATTTGCAAGAAAAAGGTCTCTAAAGAAATTTCATTTTTTCACCAAATAGGCATGTGGGCTCACGAAAAGTTCGGTTTAAAGTGCAATTTCTCATTGCACCGATGGCCAATGAGGGGAAGGGAGGTTGCGTTGGAATCGTGTGACCGAGAGGAACGCCATAGAGTAGGAATTTGCAAGAAAAAAGGTCTCTAAAGAAATTTCATTTTTTCACCAAATAGGCTTGTGGGCTCACGAAAAGTTCGGTTGAAAGTGCAATTTCTCATTGCACCGATGGCCAATGAGGGGAAGGGAGGTTGCGTTGGAATCATGTGACCGAGAGGAACGCCATAGAGTTGGAATTTGCAAGAAAAAAGGTCTCTAAAGAAATTTCATTTTTTCACCAAATAGGCTTGTGGGCTCACGAAAAGTTCGGTTGAAAGTGCAATTTCTCATTGCACCGATGGCCAATGAGGGGAAGGGAGGTTGCGTTGGAATCATGTGACCGAGAGGAAATCCATAGAGTTGGAATTTGCAAGAAAAAAGGTCTCTAAAGAAATTTCATTTTTTCACCAAATAGGCTTCTGGGCTCACGAAAAGTTCGGTTAAAAGTTCAATTTCTCATGGCATAGATGGCCAATGAGGGGAAGGGAGGTTGCGTTGGAATCGTGTGACCGTGAGGAACGCCATAGAGTTGGAATTTGCAAGAAAAAAGGTCTCTAAAGAAATTTCATTTTTTCACCAAATAGGATTGTGGGCTCACGAAAAGTTCGGTTTAAAGTGCAATTTCTCATTGCATAGATGGCCAATGAGTGGAAGGGAGGTTGCGTTGGAATCGTGTGACCGAGAGGAACGCCATAGAGTTGGAATTTGCAAGTAAAAAGGTCTCTAAAGAAATTTCATTTTTTCACCAAATAGGCTTGTGGGCTCACGAAAAGTTGGGTTGAAAGTGCAATTTCTCATTGCACCGATGGCCAATGAGGGGAAGGGAGGTTGCGTTGGAATCGTGTGACCGAGAGGAACACCATAGAATTGCAATTTGGAAGAAAAAAGTTCTCTAAAGAAATTTCATTTTTGCACCAAATAAGCTTGTGGGCTCACGAAAAGTTCTGTTTAAAGTGCAATTTCTCATTGCACCGATGGCCAATGAGGGGAAGGGAGGTTGCGTTGGAATCGTGTGACCAAGAAGAACGCCATAGAGTAGTAATTTGCAAGAAAAAAGGTCTGTAAAGAAATTTCATTTTTTCACCAAATAGGCTTGTGGGCTCACGAAAAGTTCTGTTGAAAGTGCAATTTCTCATTGCATAGATGGCCAATGAGGGGAAGGGAGGTTGCGTTGGAATCGTGTGACTGTGAGGAACGCCATAGAGTTGAAATTTTCAAGAAAAAAGGTCTCTAAAGAAATTTCATTTTTCACCAAATAGGCTTGTGGGCTCACGAAAAGTTCGGTTGAAAGTGCAATTTCTCATTGCATAGATGGCCAATGAGGGGAAGGGAGGTTGCGTTGGAATCGTGTGACTGTGAGGAACGCCATAGAGTTGAAATTTTCAAGAAAAA